TTACTAAAAAAAAAAATCACTTTGTCTTTATCAGGTAGAAAATGATATTTATACAACGTGGAAAATTGTGAAATTTTAAATACTTAAGAAATGCATCATCTGTGTGGGCTGACTGCAGCAGCTCAAGTTTTTCTCTTGGTTAATTTGTCAAAAGAAAACTCCTCCAGTTTCTGGTCTCAGTTTTCATAAATTGAGAATCCAATATGTAAAGTTTTTATTTCTATATAAATTTATATAAAACTGGTTATTATAACCTAAATCTTTTTTTAACATTTAAAATTTTTAATTAAAAATAAATCATGCTTAAACACAGACAAATTTTGAAACCAAAGGTACAATCTGAAGGACAGAAAATAAATGGGAGATTATGTACCAGGAGGAAGCTCGGAGCACGGCTCGGGACAGAGCCCATGGGGGTAGCGTTGCGCACCCATGGGGACACCTGCCGTGCAGGGCTGCTGGCCTGGGGGTCCCTGAGCACTGTTGCTGACAGCCGGCCGGCCCATGCCCCTGAGTCTGCAGTGCAGCCGGTGGCGCTGGGTTGACCTGCGCCCAGCACTTCGGGGGCACTTCGGGGAGCTCCCCCAGGCCCAGACGGTGTCGCAAGTCTGCCCCGCTCACCCACACCTGCCCCAGGCAGTCCACCAGGCTTCAACCATATGCCCTGTTTAGGTGGGGCCGCTGTGGCAGGTGGGAGGGAGGCCTGGGAGCGCCAGTCACCACTCACAGCAGAGACACCGCTGAGGCTGGCCAGGGTCCCATGAGCTAATCCAGGGCAGGCATCTGTCCATCTGCGCCCTCACTGCCCCCTCCTTCCCCACACCAGGGGCTGTGCCTGTGTGCCCACCCACCCCCAGACCACCCTGAGGGCTCAAAGCCCCACCTGTGTCTTGGCCCCCGACGCCCCTCCACCTGCTGGCCATTGTGCGGGGATCTCACCTAGGCGAAGCTCCCCGAAGTTGACACAGCCTATCGACTCGGAAGTTGGGACCCACCATCAGGACGCCCGAGCTGGCCCCCGAGGTGCGCACGCCGTGGTTGTTCTGGCTCCCGCCACTCCTGGACATTCTCCTGGCCTCTTCCAACTCCCCTCTCCCTCCTTTCTTGTGAAAATCCGTAAGTCTACGGTATCCTGGCCTCTCCATGGTGACTATGCCACACAAACACCGAGGCTGTGGACCGCTGAGGCATGGGCTCGCGGCAGCTACCACAGCCCCGCGCCAGCTGGCATGGGCACCCTCGCGGGCCTGGCCGTGGCGCGCATCTCGGTGGCCTCATGGTGGCTTTCGGGCACAGGAGACATGCTGCTGGCACCTCAAATCTCATGGCCCCCAGCTGTGCTGCGCCGAGGGCGGCGGGCCGGCTTCAGCAGTACCGCACAACCCTCCGGGCCTCACCCCTCGGCCCTGGCTCGGCTCCAGCCGCTGGGGCGGCCTCCGCATGTTCCGGGCAGGAGGCCTCTGGCTGGCTGCGCTCCGCAGCGGCCGCTCGACTTACACCCCAGCGTCGGCCAGCCTATAACCTAAATCTTTTTTTTTTTTGACAGGCAGAATGGACAGTGAGAGAGAGAGAAGGGTCTTCTTTTCCGTTGGTTCACCCCGCTCCCGATGGCCGATGCGGCCAGCGCACCACACTGATCCGAAGCCAGGAGACAGGTGCTTCTCCTGGTCTCCCATGGGGTGCAGGGCCCAAGCACTTGGGCCATCTCCACTGCACTCCCTGGCCGCAGCAGAGAGCTGACCTGGAAGAGGGGCAACTGGGACAGAATCCGGCGCCCCAACCGGGACTAGAACCCAGTGTACAGGCACCGTAGGTGGAGGATTAGCCTATTGAGCTGCGGCGCCGGCCAGCCTATAACCTAAATCTTTTTTTTTTTTTTTTTAACAGGCAGAGTGGACAGTGAGAGAGAGACAGAGAGAAAGGTCTTCCTTTTGCCGTTGGTTCACCCTCCAATAGCCGCCACGGCCGGCGCACCGCGCTGATCCGAAGGCAGGAGCCAGGTGCTTCTCCTGGTCTCCCATGGGGTACAGGGCCCAAGCACTCGGGCCATCCTCCACTGCACTCCCGGGCCACAGCAGAGAGCTGGCCTGGAAAAGGGGCAACTGGGACAGAATCCGGTGCCCCGACTGGGACTAGAACCCGGTGTGCCGGTGCCGCAAGGCGGAGGATTAGCCTATTGAGCTGCTGTGCCGGCTGTAACCTAAATCTTAAAATAAATCTAACTAGATGCTTAATTTGGTTTTCCATATACATCTTCAATGATGCTTAATTATTTTTTCATAAAGCAAAACAGTTCTATAAATTTCAATGTTCCATACTTTACAGAAGCAGTATAATTATTCATAATTATTTGTGTATTATCTACTACTGGTAATGCCTTTTACACTATTAATTTGCTAACACATAGTCCTTTTCCCATATAACAGCTTTTGATATTCTCTGTGCAATGTTAGAAAAGTTTTTAGCCTTCTATATATACTGGTTTCTTTTAGCATGAAAAATGGAAGTCTAGGTCCAATGATTTCAATAGCTCTTGCCATTACTAAATTTTAACTTAAAAAAACAGCTTTTACACGGTGTGTCAAGCATCAGTCTACAATGACAAATCCTCTCTCATTACTGTCTTTTGGAGACGAATTCAAGAAGCAATGTCAGAGCAGCTATAGCACAAATACATGCCTTAGAAAGGCACCTCACATCTTCCCAATCCTGCTGTTTCAGAGTGCATATAATGGTTAAGTTGCCTTAATCATGCATCAGTACACTTAATAACAGGAAAGCTGTTAAGGCATATCTTTGAGTGTCTGAGGCTCTTAGATTTAATCACTAGAAACATCTCATTAGACATCTCTGCCATTCATCCACAAAATCCAACCAATCATGAAATGCTGCGATTTTATCTCAGGAGTAAATCTGTCAAGTTCAAGCACATCAAATCAGACCACTCTATTCTTTGCTTGCCTGCAATACAACAAAAGTACTCATGACCTAAGATATTTTTCAATAGAAGGGGTCTTTAAGAAATCCATTGAAATTGCATATTATTAAAAAATGATGCATGGCTTTCTTTCAAAAAAATTTCACCAAAGTTTAACTTCATTTTCCATGAACTTTTAAATATCATTATATGCTTTTCTCCAATTAGTCAGATTCATCTTTTTAAGATGTGATTTCATTTTGTTCCATTCCTTCCTAACTATCTACTGTAACCACCAATTTTTTTTTTTTTTTTTTTTTGACAGGCAGAGTGGACAGTGAGAGAGACAGACAGAGAGAAAGGTCTTCCTTTGCCGTTGGTTCACCCTCCAATGGCTGCCGCTGCAGCCGGCGCACCGCGCTGATCTGATGGCAGGAGCCAGGATCCAGGTGCTTTTCCTGGTCTCCCATGGGGTGCAGGGCCCAAGCACCTGGGCCATCCTCCACTGCACTCCCTGGCCATAGCAGAGAGCTGGCCTGGAAGAGGGGCAACCGGGACAGAATCCGGCGCCCCAACCGGGACTAGAACCCGGTATGCCGGCGCCGCAAGGTGGAGGATTAGCCTATTGAGCCACGGCGCCGGCTAACCACCAATTTTTAACAAGCCCAGTGGTTGCCACTACTCCTAGGATTAACAGTAGTAACCTGGCCTCTGTACTTTCCCAACCTCATCTTATACTTTCTCCCCCAAATTCTCAGTGACCCATCTATTCTTGCAGTTTGTTCTCACCACACTCCTCCTTTCCACGAAGTTTGTTTGTTCCATCTATTACCTATGTAAGGAGTGTTCTTTTTCCCATAGTTTAATCTTACTAATGACTTAGTGTTCATTTTATACATCAAAATTCTTCAAAGAAACATCATCATCTTCCAACAGGAAAAATCTTACAGCATTATATACCAGTGCACTCATTACACTTGTGATTTTAAAAATGTGATTATGTGAGTGAAGCCTTCCATCCTTAGAATGTATATACCTCCACAAAAACAGAAGCCTTCACCATTTTTTGTTCACTGTATTCACACCACCTGGCATAATGACATAAACATACTGTACACCCAGTAAATATCTGATAAATGAGTATATGCATGAAGACAGCTACAACTGTTGTCACCTTCAGTACATACATCACATCAAGAATTTCACTACTCTCACAGGTATTTTGCAGTGCCACAATACAGGTTGCCTTGACAATTATCAACTTAAAATGTTTTTCTACTTTGCTCTATCCAGTACAAATAATTCAGTGCATGAAACACATCTAAACAAGCAAATGTAACCATCTAGCAAATCTATACATGATACCATAGATGTTTAATAAATCTACATTGAAAACGGTAATAACAATGGCTAAGATATGTGTATTTAACTTGTCCTAGATACTGCTAAACATTTTACATTTAAACTTTACCACAATTGTAAAACCTATGTATCATAATTAGTCTATATTCTAAAGGCATGGGAAAAGAGGCTAAGAGATGTTAGGAAGTGGCAATGATGGAATTCAAATGAAGACTGACAACAAAGCTCTTTAGCACTCATTTGCAAAAACACTACTCATAGCTAAAGGCTGAGATAGCTTTGTTGCACCAATTTTGAAATAAACATATCCAAACACATCTATTTCAATACTGTAATCATGTATATGTTAAAACTGTGAGAAATATTCTATTTTAATATCACGGAATTAATAGATAAATGGCAGCTTACAATATATTTTATATCATGTTCGATTTTTAGTCTGTAACAAAGCAATCTAACACTTTAAATTCAATTATTTTCTCCATAGTACAAGAAATTTCTGAAAAACAAAAGTCAAAGCTCTAAAGTCAGAACGTTTTATTGAAATGATTCCGAAGCTGAAGAATGATTTATTCTCTAGAATTATTATTCTTTTAGAATTTGGAACAATGCATATTAGCAGGATTTGACTGAAGTTTGCACAACGATCCAAACTAAATATGGACTTATATTACTTATTTTGTCTGACTTCATACTTTAAAAAATCCTGCTATAAGCATACCTTGGCAAAAAATACGGTGAGGTGAGTTTCACTGCCAACAATCCAAATAGGGAATTTTGGCGATTTCAAGTAAGAACCAACCTAGAATAAATGTAGCAAAATAAACAAATGAGCAATTGAAACTGATTATTAAATATCCATCAACTAATATTTGAAACATAGCTAAGATATCCAACTCATATTTAAACAGAATAATGTATTGTTCCACAGCCTTATCCATAGAGATCAAATGCTGAACATAAAGATAAGTGTTATATAGATTGTAAGCACTGAGCTTATATTGCACCTTTACATTAGAACAATAGTATAGATTTTAACATGGCCAGAAATAACCAACTTAGCCCTGAAAATTATTCTCAGGTTTTGTTAAAGTTCCTAGATAGAATGACCACTTCTAGAATGTTAGCTTGACATCTCAAACTCTAAACTTGATAATTCCTTTATAAGGAAAATAACTATAAATTAACAAATTAGATTTTTTGAATAAACAAAGGCAAAATCCATACTAACACCCCTATTCTCAAAAAATCTAGGGAAATACAATAATCTGTTTTAAGAAAAACACAATACACAACATTTAGAAACATAAAAGAATTCTGGTCATTTGACTCTTAATGATAAAATAAGTTCAAAGTTTTATAATATGTAATATCTTTAAAAATGTATAAAAAGCCATATTTATTCCCTGTGTTCAAGATTATATATTTAATACACAAAACACTATACTACCAAAAATTTGAGAACATGTTTTTCTGTGTTTGAGAAAATAAAAGCTTAATACTCAAATAAAATGGATTTATGAAACCTATATGTTCACAATAGTCAATTCCATATTCTTTTCTTAAAAGAACTTCCATTCATTCATTTATTTTATTAATTTGAAAGCAGAGAGACAAATTGCCCATCTACTGGTTTACTCCCCAAATGCCCACAATGGTTGGGTATGAGCTAGGCAGAAGCCAAGAGCAGGGAACTCAATCCAAGTCCCTAAGTGTTTGACAGGACCTAAGCCATAACCTGCTACCTACCAGAGTGTGCATTAGCAGGAAGCTGGAATAAGGAACAAAATTGGGGCTTGAATCTAGGTCCTCTGATATGGGATGTGGGTGTGCCAAGCAGCACCTCTTAACTGCTACAACCCCTGATATACTCTTAGAAGAACAGAAACCCTAACTTACAAACAACTAATCTCACCAATCAAATTGCTGAATTTTCTCTTCTCACTCAGTTTGCCTATACTTGGGAAATTCCCAGTAGTTACTTATAACTATAAATCAGGGTCAATAATTATTTTCTAATTAGTCAACAACCCCTACTTCAACCACCACAATGGCACTCTGGAATTTATCCTCATCACTAGAAGGGAAGTGGAAAATAGTGCTCTTTTTTATTCATGAGTGAAAAATCAGTATCTTCGTCCTATGATAGAATGTGCTAATACAGAAATGCTGAACTAGTGAAGTTTAAGGGATAGTTAGGGGGTTGGCTCCATGGCGCAGTGGGTTAATCCTCCGCCTGCAGTGCCAGCATCCCACAAGGGCACCGGTTCTAGTTCCGCTGCTCCTCTTCCAGTCCAGCTCTCTGCTGTGGCCTGGGAGAGCAGTGGAAGATGGCCCAAGTGCTTGGACCCCTGCACCCACGTGAGGGACTGCGAAGCAGCACCTGGTTCCTGGCTTCGGACTGGCCAACTCTGGCCATTGCAGCCATTTGGGGAGTGAACCAACAGATGGAAGACCTCTCTCTCTCTGTCTCTCCCTCTCACTGTCTGTAACTCCACCTCTCAAATAAATAAAATCTTTAAAAAAAAAAAAAGGATAGTTAGAAGATACAGGATCAAATGCTGAACTCATAAAGTGTTTTATTAACAATAAGTGAATGAACATCTAGTACAATTCCGTTGGAAAAGTTTGACAGTCCCTCAACAGTAAAACATAGAATTACAACATGAAACAATTTTACTCCTATCTATATAACAGATAACGAAAATATATGTTCACAAAAAAAACATGTACATATTTATAGCAGCATTATTTTTAATAGATAAAAGTAGAAATAACCTAATCACCTGATGAATGGATAGACAAAATTGGTATATGATATAGCAGAATATAATTTGGTCATAAAAAGGAATGAAGTACTAACACATGTTTAAACATAGGTGAACACTGAAAACATACCACATAACAAGAAGCCAGACACAAAAGGGTACAAATAATATGATTCATTTACATGAAATGTCCAGAAGAGGCAAAACCATAGGGACAGAAAGTAGAACCATGGTAGTCAAGAGCTGGGGATGAGGGGAAGAGATTGCTAATGGCTTTAGAGGTTTTTTTTTTTGTTTGTTTGTTTGTTTTTGTTTTTGACAGGCAGAGTTAGACGGTGAGAGAGAGAGACAGAAAGGTCTTCCTTTTCCGTTGGTTCACCCCCCAAATGGCCGCTACAGCCAGCGCGCTGCGTCAATCCGAAGCCAGGAGCCAGGTGCTTTTTCCTGGTCTCCCATGTGGGTGCAGGGCCCAAGCACTCGGGCCATCCTCCACTGCCTTCCTGGGCCACAGCAGAGAGCTGGACTGGAAGAGGAACAACCGGGACAGAATCTGGTGCCCCAACCGGGACTAGAACCCAGGGTGCCGGCGCCACAGGTGGAGGATTAACCAAGTGAGCTGTGGTGCCGGCCCTAGAATTTAAGGACGGGGAAAACACTGTGGAATTAGATACTGGATATGACTGCACAGCCTTGTGAATATACTAAAATTCACTGAGTATATTTTAAAATGGTGGATTTTAGAGAATGTGACTCAAGGCCATGTTCTTTTTTCTCTGGGTGGGCATACACATTGTGTTTGTGTGTGTGTGTGTAGAGATCACTTCTTTTTTTTTTTTTTTTTTTTTTTTGGACAGGCAGAGTGGACAGTGAGAGAGAGAGACAGAGCGAGAGAGAGACAGAGCGAAAGGTCTTCCTTTTGCCGTTGGTTCACCTCCCAATGGCCGCCGCGGCTGGTGCGCTGCGGCCGGTGCGCTGCAGCCGGTGCGCTGCGGCCGGCGCACTGCGCTGATCCGATGGCAGGAGCCAGGTACTTATCCTGGTCTCCAATGGGGTGCAGGGCCCAAGCACTTGGGCCATCCTCCACTGCACTCCCGGGCCACAGCAGAGAGCTGGCCTGAAAGAGGGGCAACCGGGACAGAATCTGGTGCCCCGACTGGGACTAGAACCCGGTGTGCCGGCGCCGCAAAGTGGAGGATCAGCCTAGTGAGCCACGGCGCCGGCCCTTCATTTGTATTAATAAACATATGGTCAAAATTTTATCTAAAATTTTAAGTCAGTAAAAATTTTTAAATATTTATTTTTATTTGAAAGGCACAGAGACAGAGACAGAAAAAGAGTAAACTCCAATCTTCTGTTTTTTTCCCTCAATGCCCATAACAGCTGAGGCTGGGCTGGGCCAAAGCCAGGAATGCAATGAAGGTCTCCTATGTGGGCAGGAACCTAATTAATTGAGCCATCACTTCCTCCCAGGATCCACATTACCAGAAAGCTAAAGTCAATAGTGTGAGCCAGGTATTGCAGGTAGATATGACACATGAGTGTCTTAACTGCTAATCCAACCACCCATCTCAAAGAAATTTGCTACACTATTAAAGAGTGGGGATATATTCAGATTTATACAATTCACACAACCACAATTATTTCCTTAATGCTATTTCTCTTTAGAATACAGTAAAAAAGGAATTATCCAGATTTAAAAAAAATTATGTATAGATAAAACCCAGAGAGTAATATTTCTTTTTAAAAATGCCATCTTAACTCATTTTGGAGGCCTTGGCTAGAGTCCAATCTCCTTAAAAAAAGATAGCTGAGGGGCCGGCATTGTGGCATAGCAGGTTAAGTCACTGCCTGAGATGCCAGCATCCCTTAATGAGCACCAGTTCATGTCATGGCTGCTCCACTTCATCCAGCTCCCTGTTAAAGCATCTGGGAAAGCAGGGGAAGATGGCCAAAGTCTTTGGGCCCTGAACCCAACATGGGAGACACAGAAGAAGCTTCTGGCTCCTGGCTTTGGGCTGGCCTAGCCCGGGCCATTTCAGCCTATTTGGGAATGAACAAGTGGATGGAAGACCTTTCTCTGTCTCACCCTCTCTAACTCTGCCTTTCAAATAAATAAATAAATCTTTAAAAAAAAAATAGCTGATTAAATAAGTTCATGCCCCATCCACTTTCCTGATAGGTTTTTCACAGACTATCATCCTAATCACTCTATAGTCTAGACAGCCCCTATGGCCAAAGCCCATGAAAATTATTCAAATTAGCCAATCCATAGGGAACCCAGGAAAACTAGTTAACCCTATAGCTTGTTGTTAGTCAACTGTGTGGCCCTACCTGGCAGCCCCCTCTCATTTGAAGCTGTAAGGAATGAATTCTGTCTTTCATTTATCCCAGTATCAGGGTACTGAATTGCATCATTAAAAGAATCTTTAAATCTTACAGTAAAATGCTAGAACATTCAATAGATAAAGAGAATAATGTACAACAGCTATTGATTTCCCACCATGATCTTGAGGGAAAAAACATTTTCCTGTTCTAAAACTGCACATATTTGGAGAACTTTATTATAGTTGTGGTACAATTATCTGTTCATTCATTTAACAACTATTTACTGTGTACTTAATATGTACCCAGCAAGACAACATTCCTGTCTTCCAAGATTCTATTTTCCATTAGGGAAGACAAAAGAAAAACAAATTTGAAAGACTAAAAATAAAAAAAGTAAACAAAAAGGATTATTACAGAATAACTATTCATATGAAATACTATAAAAATGGGTAACTGAGGGTATGGTCAAGGAAGACTCTTTGAGGCACAATCTGAAGTACGACGTGAAGGGAAGAGAAAGGTATCTATGCAAAAAGTAGGGGTACAGCAAACTGAAAGCCTACTGGGCAGGAAGGTGCTGGGCATGTTTGGTAAAATGAAAGAACACCAGCAAGGCTGGGACACAGCATGGAGTAATGAAACTGAAAGGATCCAGTTCATTAGGTTCTTACTAGTGACGTGGCCAATGTTTTGAATCATAAAATCTGCACACCATACCCTTCTTCGAAACACTTGACCCAGGTTCAGGTACACATACATACATATACATTTACTTTTAGGACTGTGTGTGTGTGTGTGTGTGTGTTGAGGTTAAGGAACACAGTTTGATGCTCTGGTTGCCAGGCTCTCAGACAGCTTTAGCTTGTATTATTAAAGTCAATGAAAACAAAAGGGCTGCTAGAGTTTAACAATATCATCACTATTAATAAGTAAGATCAGGATGAATCCTATTTGTTTATCATACTCATATCATTCTTGTCCAAGTGTTGCTGTGAAAGAGAAATGATATCAGAAAAAAAAAGGAAACAAAGGAAGGAAAAGAATAAAAAGAAAAAGAGAAAGGAAAGGAAGGCAGGCAGAAAGCAAGGTAGAGGGGAGGAAAGAACAGGACATTATTATTGTGACTAAAAATAAGAAAGAAAAATTGTTATTATTGCTAAAAACAATCACCACCACCAGAACCACTGCCATAGGAGTGTTGTTGTAACTGAAAAATAAAATTAGACTAATTTCTTTCTTTATTCAAAATTATGAGATCTTGTTAAGTACAAATCATTAATATTTTAGTATTACCCAGTAGTCATTTCAGATTGTACAGGGAGGTAATAAAAGAGTTTTATTGCAGTTCCAAACCCTAGCACATGTGCTAAAGAAGTTGATGTTGTGAAATGTTTGGAATGTTTTAGTGTGAAATCATTTTTCAGATGGAAGAGTTAAAAGATAAAATTTCAGGTATTTTAGTCAATTCTCTTTTGTTGCCTTAATAAAGTATTACCAGTTGTTTTTGTAAAGCATACTTTATTCATAAAAAAACACTACTTTCTTTTTCCTTAGTATAATATTTATATTCAGTAATCAAGGTCTCTATGTATTGTACTGGGTTCACCCAACCAACACCACCCCCCAAAAAAGCAACACACTTGGCATAGGCAACAGTACAACGAACCAGGTATCCTTAAGAAATTTGTTTAGGGTAGTAATCTGGAAGGAAGTGAATAGAGTGGTTATGTAGTAATGGTGGTAAGCTAAAAAAGGAGCAAAAAAAAAATCCAGAACAGTGGACATGTTAAATAAAAAATATCCAAAGTACCTTAAAAATCATTTTACCTTGGGGTGAGGGCTGTGGTTCAATGGGTTAAAGCCCCGGTCTATAGTGTTGGCATCCCATATGGACACCAGTTCAAGTCCCAGCTGCTCCACTTCTGATCCAACTCTCTGCTATGGCCTGGGAAAGCAGTGGAAGATGGCCCAAATGCTTAGGCCCCTGCACCTATGCGGGAGACCTGGAAGAAGCTCCAGGCTCTTGGCTTTGCATTGGCCCAGCTCTGGCCGTTGCAGCCATTTGGGGATGGGACCAGCGGATGGAAGACCTCTCCCTCTCTCTGCCTTTCAAATAAATAAATCTTTTAAAAAAATTACTTTTACCTTACAGTATCTTAAAGCTTCCATTAATGTTAAGAATCCCACAGCTGCTTGTTCATGTATACCAAGAAGTTCTGTAAAAAATTAAAATATAGCATTGTATTAGTATATATATATATAAATATGAAAAGTACTTTCATGCATATTCATGAGGTTACTTCAAAAGCTTGTGAAAAAGGATCAGATTAAAATATAAGCTTACTTTGGTGCAAAAAAAAAATGTTCAACTATATACATTGTTTACTCATAATATGTGCTTTCCACCAGCTTTTTGAACACCCCTCATAAGCACAGATTCCAGATTTTTTGCATCAAAATATACTCATCGTTGAGTTCCATTTTCCATGACCCTTCAAAAATTTATTTATTTATTTGACAGGTTCGGAGAAAGAGTACTAGAATGTGTTCCCATCAGCCAGTTCACTCCCTGAATGCCCACTATGGCCAGTGAGCTGGAGCCAGAGCTGTTAACTCAATCCAGATTTCCCCTGTAGGTGGCAGGACTCAACCATTTGAGCCATCCCTGTTGCCTCCAGGATCTGCATTAGCAGGAAGCCACAATTAGGAGCTGGAGATGGGCAAAAAACCTAGGCACTTACATGGGATGTAGCACCTCAACTGCTAGACCAAATGCTTGACCCTTACTATACCACAACTTTAACTCAAAACTATACTTTGAAATTTCCCACACATTCATTAAGAAGCCGCATCAATTCTTCATGTAGTACTACTTATTCTAAAATGCTTTTAGATAAGGTGGATAAATCTGATACTTCAGATGTATATTAAATTTAGAAAAATTAATATTCAAGATTACTTTTAAAATAGAACAATACCATCCCTGAAATCTAGATAACTGGTAACAAAATAAAGAAAATGATATTCAATATCCTTGCAAAATGGTTAATTTGAACTAACTATGATTTTGAAAATCATAATGAACATGCTAATAAGTAGAAAAATTTGTCACTGGGAACAAATACAATACTTAAAACATGAAAATTTGATGCTATCCTTCTTCGCTGTAAATGAATACAGGGAAATGAATATTAGGGAAACAAAGATGGAAAGAAAATGGTCTCTGTCTTATAAAGTCTCAAAGGGAAACATGGAAAAAACATGTACTCTTCCAAATAAACACACACACACACACACACACACACACACACACACACACACAGTGGTATAAGAGCACCTGCTTACAGTGTTAGGGAAGGTCTACAGAAGTGGAAATATTTGAGTTGAATCCTGAAGCACATGTATGAATTTTCCAGGCCAAAAAGAGGATGAGATCAGAATTAAAACAGAGGAAATAGCAAAGAATGAGAAAAGTCACATATTGAAGGAATGAAGATTTGTCAAGGCTTCTTTAAACATTTCTGGCCTGGGAAACCGGATAAATATTTTTTGATTAAGTAAAAGAAAGAATCTGGAAGAAGTAGGTTCTGGAGTCAAGTGAAGAGAGAACATGAGTTTGGTTTTAGTTAGACAAGCTGGGCTGGAGGCACCTTTAGTACTTCTATCTAGAAGGGGATAAACTGGAAGTAAGGCTCAGGAACACAGGACAGCAAAGTCAGGACTAGATATGGAGATCTGGGAATCATCAGCATAGCAAAATCATGTATGTGGATAAGAAAGAACTAAGAATACGGAATAAAAGGATTTAAAGATTACTGTATAACAGAGAGAGAACTATGATAATGATGTCTTTTATGGACTACAGCTTTCAGCTAACTTATGATGAGTAGAACTATAACAATATATTTGGGTCCATGCATATCTCTAAAAAACATTTTTTTCTGGTTAAAAATTATCTCCACTGTGAACATAATGTATATATAGTTTTGCTTCCTTTTTACAATCTAGTCATGTTTCTACTATGCGGATATTATGTTTTCTTATCAAATAAGATAGTAGGGATATTAACCCCTACTTTGTTGTAAATATTTTACTATAACAACATCTAGATTAATCTTTTTGGGTTTTTAAGTTCAAAATTAATAAAAGGTATTCAAATCACAATTTGTATTTTATCGCCAGCTTCTTACAGACACAAAAGGGTTGTGGTTTAACACTCTTGGGTTTACAAGACCCTCTTTCAGAATACATGAGATCAAAATGATTTTTCTAATCACTCATAATTGTCGGGTTCAGCCTTAATTCTCACTAGTGTACAGTGGAGTTTTACAGAGGTTACATGTGTTACAGAGCAACAGATTGAATTCATAAGCAGATATGAAGACTCAGTTGTACACTTGTACTACTGGTAAGCCAGACATTAAGGAGATTTGCACAAATCTTTTATAATGCCATTCTACTATTTTTTGTTTTGGAAAATAGTTTTATTTAAATTCAACATTGTTCATGCAAGGGTACTTCAAAAAGCTCCTGGCAAAATGGAATTAAAGTTAAATTCTGGTACAAAAAATGTTGAAATCCCTGCATAATTTTTTAGAACATGCATTTTTTTCATGAGCTGTTTGAAGACTACTTGTATGTATGGATTTCAAAACTGTTCAGCACCAAAATAAACTTCTCTAATTCCATTTTCCATTAACTTTTTAAAGTATTTGCATATTTACAACTAACAGACATATTATTGTCACATTAAAAATTACTGCATATCTTTAAAAAACTACATATTTTAAAAATTTCTCAGTCTGAATTTATAACATGAAACTTATTAGTCATGGTTTGCTTATAGTGCATGTAGGTAAATCTCTTTGGGAACCTCAGTAATTTTTCAGAGTATAAATTAGGGCAAGACACCAAAAAATGAGAACTTTGGGTAAGAGCATTCAAAGGAAATAAAATAGAAATGGGTTAGTTTTGTAAGCCTTTTTCTTCCTTTCTGAAATGTAAGAAGCACTAAACATTTTTATGTTCTAAGAATACAATGTTGGGAAATATTTTCACAATTTAATTTCTCAAATGAATTACCACCACCTAGTGTTACAATTAAATACTACATTATCTATTACCTTGGCATTTTAAACAAATGCCTAGAACAGACTATTTATCTCATTTAACTAAACATAGGACAGTAATTATATGCTTAGGCATCTAGTTTGGACAGTAACATTTTAAGAATGTATTATATCCATTTCCAGAAACAGAATATATACTTAACATTTTATTCTCCTTTGAAAGGTAAATGGCATCAAGAATATTTTTATAGCGAGTTATAATGCACTGAGGATACAATAGTCTCACATTATAATTTACAGAATTTGTATGAGCCTTTTTCAGTAAGTGTCAAGGTCTATTTACATTTTCAGGAAATAATGATCATTTTATGATCATCTTAAAAATTTAATTTCTCAATATTTGCTTTTTAACTTACAGAAGAGTGAAACAAACCATGAAGACTCATCCAATTCTTGACTAAGTTTCCAAATATGCCACACTAATGTGTAACTAGATAGCACCAAAGAAACAGGATTATATTCCTTGGCCTAAATATAATACCTGTTTTTATCTTTCTAATCCACAAATGAAAGCTATACATTTTTATAGTGCAGAACATGATATTTGAAATCTACATACTTTGTAGAATGGCTAACTATATGCTAATTAACGTGTGTTACTTCACACACTTATTGCTTGTGGTGGGTACACAAAATCTATTTTTCTTTTTAATTTATTTGAAAGACAAGAGTTACAGAAAGAGGTAGAGACAGAGAGAGAGGTCTTCCATCCACTGGCTCACTTCCCAGATGGCCGCAACGGCCAGAGCTGCGCCAATCCGAAGCCAGGAGCTTCTTCTGGGTCTCCCACGTGGGTGCATCTTCCACTGCTTTCCCAGGCCATAGCAGAGAGCTAGGTTGGAAGAGGAGCAGTGGGGACTAGAACCGGCCCCCATATGGGATGCCGGCACTTCAGGCCAGGGCTTTAACCCACTGTGCCACAGCACCGGCCCCACAAAATCTACTTTCTAAGTGATTTTCAAGTATACAGTACTTTGTCTTTAAGTATATTTACCATATTTACAATAGATGTTGAATTTATTCCTTCTAACAGAAATTTTGTACCTTTTGACCAACATCTCAATTCTCCCCTTCCCTGCCTCCCATAACCACCACTCTACTCTCTGCTTCTATGAATTTGCCGTTTTTAGATTATCTTATTATATTTTATAATTTACTTTGTTTTCTTGACCTTTCATTTAAGATCATTCATTAGTCCCCATCCACCAGCATCTTGCTTAATTCAATGATATCAATTGTGTACATATATATAATATATATAATGTGTATGTGTGTGTATATTTATATATATGTGTGTGTGTGTGTGTATATATATGGCTGTTTTATAGTTTCCTCCTCTCGCCATTGACTACAGAAGTTTCTCCTGACCTTTCAAATTTGATGCTGACATGGAAACAAAGTAACTGTACTACAGTTATTTAACAAATGCATCCTGAGTGCCAAGTATTAAAAAGAACAATATTAAGCATAATGCAGGAAAATAAAGCTACCACAGAAAAGACCAAGATAAAAACACAGATGACCAGATCCTCTCAAAGGTAGATTAACAGTGAACTGTAAGAGGACAAGGTAGGACGTATCATGAAAGTCAACTGCTCAGAGGTAGGATAGATCACTGTAACTGTGAGAATCACAAGTTCTCTTGGAAGACACAGCATCTGAAGTGGGTACTGAAGGACTGGGAAGACATAATAGAAGAGATACAATATGGGTCTTCAGGCATAGAACTAGGACAAACATGAAAAAAAAAAGTAGCTTAATTTTGTTCAAGCAAAATGAATTCATTATGGTTGAAAAAGGAAACTAGGTTGACAGTATATAGGATCTGAGTAAATAAAGTAAAAAAATTTGTAGTTAAAAATGAAAGTTTTTTTTTTTTACAAGAATGTTAGAATAGATTAAAAGCCATAAAATACTGAGATGAGCTTGGGTATCTCTCTTATAGATAAAGGAACCTACAATTCGAGCCATGAAATCTACTTTTGATAGTGAGGAGCTTTGTAAACCTACTTACTGGTTGTCTCTTTTATTCCTAAGAAGTCAACTTGCTAGAGTGGCATCCAGCTAGGGTTGTCACATTTAACAAA